TGATATTACAGCGCTTGATTGCACAACAAACCCTATTAAGATTCATACAACCTATTGTTAAGAAGATTAGATGAGTCACCACAACAATTATGCAGATCAACTGAATGTGGCTTTCTTAACATCTCAGCATTGATGCAGTTATTCATGCAGAAGGCGTGCACACCCAAAAATTTAGTGCATACTGTATGGTACATGAACATATTTTTCAGTATACTGACATTTCTGTACTTAAAATGCTTTATAATTGATATTAAATACTATTGCACTTTTCTAGAAAACAGTTTATTGGAGGTTATTAATATAGCGTCACGTGTCACGCTGTATGCAATAAATTAATGAGTGTCACTCTTTTAATTTAATTTCTGAAACAAATGGCGTTTCTTACGACATTCCACTTCACTAACATCCACCTGTGCGTTCGTGTGTTCTGTAAATGTACTCTTCATTCTGCTGTGTTTTCCGTGAATTCACACACTTGACAATGATGGACAGTCTGAGTCTGGTAAGATTCCATCATATTTCTCTAGGGGGGACAGCTTTTACAGGTTTCTGTTGTGAAACCTGTAAAAGTTCAAAGACTTAGATGCGCAGTAGCGTGTCTGCGCAGCTGCTGCTCTAGTGGAAAATTCCATATCAGCTGCTAAGCTAACGGACAACTGAACGTTACTGCTGCTGTCCGTTGACTCCTTCCTCCACTTTGCTGTTCAACGCTGCTTGCTGCTGCTTGTTGGTGGTGACACATGAAGCGTCCCTGTGAAACCCACCACCTTCTGTTGACATTACTTTTTAAGCCGCTGTACGTATACTAACTAATTCAAGTTAAAGCAAATGAAAAGTCTCTCTGTAGAGTCGGTTTTTAAACCCTTATCAGAGTCGGACTTTCAGGAGCGCGAAAAAGCGGGTATACTCCGGGTGCGCGCCTGCTTCTGATGTCGATGTTATGTCAAGAAGTGTTAGTAGGTAGTTTAGAGACGGAGACGTCGGGAGCGCGCGCTGACAGTGAACGTGCTGCTTCGGTTGTTTAGTAGTAAGTACGCTAGATGAATGGTGCGTTTAAAAATAACGTCCGTACATCGATGTTTGCAGCTTTGTTAGCTGTTTAGAGATGACAAATAAAACTCGTCGTAGGCTGAAACGCGTAGAAGTGGTGTAAGAAGAAGAGGGGGAAAAAAATGAGGAAAATTGCAAACTTACTTTAAACTGCCATGAGACAGGAGATAAAATTCTGCACAAGTCCCCCGTGTTGCCGAATGCCCATTGCTAAATGCATTTTTAATTCAGCTTATAACATCTGGTCCATATTCAGAAAACACGCCCATTGCTTGCGATATTTTACAGACGCATTGAGGAACTGCATTTGCGTTGGTGTGGAAAATTTTTTGTCTCTCATCAGTTCTCATAAATGAAGGGTTCAGTTGAAACATGATTGAAAGATATTGTTGAACCAAACGAACAAGCAACAATACAAACCACAAATCAAGAAAATAGGGGCAACATTTCTGTGGATTATCATTGTTGCAGTGAAGACAGTTAATTGTGTTCTTTAGGTGTTTACCCAATCAGTTAGTTCAAATTGTTCATCACGCCATAACGTTGAGGATACAAAATATATGGACAAATAAGTCAGTTTGTTAGAATTAAAGACAGTGGAAAACTTTGTGCGCTCATGCCCCCTGTTATGGTCAACAATAATGTTTTTTATTTAACGTCCCAAGAGTCTGACTTCCATGTGAATTGTTCTTGATCTATTGTTCTAGATACCTACAAGTCTTATAAAAATTTGAAAGCTATTTTTTGCGCAATTATGGTTGCTTTTACTGCCTCTTAAGAAATATCCCATTGTTTGTTAAGCCATATAACATTTATTCATCATTCATTCAGCTCTAAAGAGGTTAATCAGATGTGTAGCTCTTAATAGTAAATTAGCAGATAACTAACTTTTAGCCTATTGTGATACAAGCAGGTAAAAAAAATAGATTTGTTTCCTCCAATTTCTGTAGTTAAACAGCTAGAGCTCTTGACGACACATTACACTTGAATAAAAGAGAATGTGAACAGCAATTGTCAACACTTGCCTGTCTGGACTGTGACAAATGTTAGCTGATAAGAACCATGGATAATGTTTTAGTTTAAAAGGCAGCATTAAAAAAAAAAAAAGATCAAATGGATGACCGCTGAGTTAATTGGTCACTTTAAATTTATTGCATATTTTTCTTTGGATTTCTCTTAGAATATTCTTATGATCTAAATCACTTTTCTCACTAACTTCTGAGATCATCAAAGAACACCCACCTGGATTTATACTGAGATTAAATTACACAAGTTGATAATATTTACAGACAGAGTGACTCTCAAGGCAGTGGATTTTTTTTTTTTTTTTGGTTCAGTGAAAGGGCCTAAAAACAAATGCATGCCATGCTTTCCAGATTTGCCATGCATCCTTGTTGGTTTAAATCACAAAAATAGATAACAAACTACTTTCCCATTTTGATTAAGTAGGCAACGTGCAGAAGTGCATCTTTTTTTCTTAGTAGGATGATGTCTTAACATGTGAAAGTTGAATAAATTTGACAATGACCAAGTTACAGCAGCTTCTGAAGCTTCTTAGGGAGAAGATATCCATTTGCAAAGCCACAGTGCTCTCTACTGGACAGAAAGTGCTACAGCATGTAAGGCCTTTGCACTTCAAATTTTAGTTGAACAGAACTTGGTCTGATTTTGTTTGGACTTTCCTCAACAGCTGTTACAACCAGGTTTGGTTTATGGTTACTTTAGGGAAACCTTTGGCAAATACCCAACTACATAGAGCAATATTACGAACAATAACAAACGAACAATACAAACCACAAATCAATACTTTTCCTTTCAGAACATTGTCAGCAGCAGGTTCAAAATGTGATGACTATGACAACAATAAAACATATAAGTACATATAGAATGGTATTCAAACTGTTTTATGAGTCAAAAGGAAATGTGTGGGGTTTTTTTTAAATCACAAATTGTAAGTTAAAGTAATTACAGTAAAAATTTAAGCATCAGATATTTTTTTCTGATTTTTCTGACAAAATCAGAAAAAAATATCTAGAACTAAAAAAAAAAAGGTGAAAATTCTGGAGTGAAGCAGAGGACTGTAGAAATAAGTAAAAACACTGAAGTGGTGTAAAGAAGCCTTTCAGATGAAAATGTAATCTATTGCTGTCAGCGGTTCCAAAGATAAAGACGAGACTTTGAAGTTCGTGCCTTCTCACACTTTAACTGTGAGAATCACTGAAAAATTCAAACTTCAGAAACTCTGACAGGAATCATCTAAAGAAGAAGATAACGATAAAGATGACCAGAAGCTGGAACGGTAGATGTGGTTGAGCAGCTGCCTTATTAAGGCAAAAATGAAAAATATCCCTGTTTTAAAATCGATGATCCCTGTTATTTTGTCCCAGGGTGAAAAATGTGGACTTTCACCTTATCCTGGATATATGATCCATGATAAGCTTCTAGAAAATCTGATCTGACTTTAACAACAGCATCAGTGGAGAACAGGATTCTTCTACTGCATGTGGAGACATTCCTCTATGATTTGTCTGTGTTTTTCAAGGTGTGACCATTGCAAGAATTAGTTTGTAGGAAAAAAGGTCAAATGTAGGATCTTAGTAGAAAATGTGCTTTCCTCTGCTTTAGGCCAGACAAACGTAACTGTAGTGAAAGATTTTTATAAAAATGGTTACAGTATTAAGCTCTTAATATGGGCATATAATCACTAACACTATTTACTTGATGTAAAAAAGACAAATATCAAAAACGTTAGGGTTGCGTTTCAAAAAACGCAATGAACAGTTATTTTATATGCACCTATATGAATATATCTACCCCCAAGCATGCAGTAACTCTGTGTACCGCACGACACTTTACTGTCTTGCAGTTGGTTAATGACTGACCGTCTGACTTTTACGTACTAATAGATATTTGTACTTCAAAGCAGAACTTTGGGGGCCAAGCAGGTTCCTGTGGTTACCAAATAAGCCAAGAAACAGACGCCACTGTGTTTTGACTTTTTTTAATTAGTGCAGTGTCTCTTGAACTTGTACTGTGGATCTCGAAAGTATGAAGAGTTTTCAAAATGCCAGATTTTAGTAAACTAAAAAACAAGACAACGAAAAATCACTTTGAACTTTTTCCACTTTTAATGTGTCATTTATTTTGTATAGTTCAGCTAAAAAAAGAAACAATTCCTTTGGTAAAAATAATATAAAATGGTTGCAATAACCGATGAACAAGTCTCCACATTGTTAAGCTAATATTTTGTTGAGAAATCTTCACTTGAATTTTAGCATTCAGTTTTCTTGGGTGCACACCTAATCTCAGTCATAGTGAATTTAAATAATTCAAAATAAAGTTTTTTGGTTGAATTGAAGCCTTAATTTCTAGGAAGGTTATACAAGGTTGTACTCTAGAAAGATTATCAGTCAGGAGAAGGGTGCAAAATAATTCCACATTGTATTAATAACATAATTGTACAGTAAAAACATCATAATTCAAGAAAAATACATATATATTAGCCCAGTCATTATCCAAGATAAAAATACATAAAACAAACATAGAGAGAAGAACACTGATGGTTTCTGGTAACTACTTACTTTGTTCTACATGTGAAAACAATATGTATTCTTAATATGTCTAGACTAAGAAGTAAGGTTGACAGAATAAAACCTTTTCCTCCATAGAAAACATACAGGCTTGACTGATAGGTTGACATTTTGGGCCCTAATTCTAAAAGGTATCATACGAAATGAACACCAGACCCACAGTGAAACATGGGGGTGGCAGCATCAGGCTTTGGGATTATTTTCAATTAGATGAGATGAAGAATATTGTCAAGACAGATAAAATCAGGATCATTTCCAAGTACCAGACTGATTTGATCAAGAAGATTCAGGTGTCTACTAGACAGCTGAAGATACATACAGTATCTACAATAATTTACCAGAAGAAAATGTACATTTTCCAATGGCTAAGTCAGAACCCAGAACTAAATCTGATGAAAAGAAAAAAATTGAAATCACCTGAAGAGATGAAATTCCTTCTAGACATTTAATTATTTTTTTGTACAGTGTCTCAAGCTTTTTGCAAAGGAAGTATTTGCATCAAGCTAATTATCACAGTATACATTTAGAAACAATACTGTTTGTCAGTTAAGGCACTCTTTGTGTTAGGTTTACAGTATATCGAGTCATGTTTGTGTTACACGCTTTATTCCCATCTTTGGTTGTATTTTATCTTCAACATGATATCAACGTGCTCTGCTGTCAGACACTGCTGGTTCTATGAATGCCATACAGCCTGTGTGGAGTGTAATGATTAAGACTTGTCAAAGCTGCTGCACATAAACATGGCTTCAACTGGTGTTACTACCCTATTTAACCTTTAAGTGTGCTAAATTATTTCACATTCTTTAAATGCACAGTTGCTTTGCATAGCAAATTTTTAGCTTTGAAGTGACTTTGGTATGACAGCAACACAGATAGTCCACCAAATCTTTAACATGTTCCAGAGTAAGTAAACTACAATCCAGGGCATCAACCTCACAAACTTCAGCAGCATTAAGCTCTCTCATCTTCCATACCACTTCATTTAAAATACAATTGTAGAACAAATTTATAAAATTAAAAATATAAAATCAAGTACATGTTGGAGACTTGTCATTCATTAATGTTAAAGACCAGCTTTTACTGAAACATTTTAAGGCTAGTAAAACAGCAAACACTTGTCTGGTGTTTCTAAAACGAGTTTGGTTTGGTTTGGCCCCACTTACATTTGTTCAGCATGTGACTGAGATGGTCACAAGAGAAAGTGAGGCCATTTTAACCAAAATAAGATTCAGCTAAAACTTTGTCCCATCAGACCCCAACGGTCATGAATTTGACACTGTTAGGAGGGATCAGAGGGATCACTTCAACATTTTAGTGAGGAAGTGCGAGGCCACAATTCCTGCAGCGAGGATGATGAACATGACCAGCACCGCCAGCCCTCGCCGTAAAACCAGCTGAGTCCCCGACAGGACGTCCCCCACCGTGGTGGTGGGTTTACTCTGCTCTGGAGGATGGGCCTCCTGGTACACATGGTCCTCCTCATCACGAGATGCTGCAGCACCAGCCTGGCTCTGGTTGCAGGCTGAAATTTAGATTTAGTTTTTCAGGTTTAGAGATTTTATACTAGGACACAAGTTCAAAGAAACAAGTTTGAAATCACTTATCAAATGTGCTAGTTTGATCGATTTAAGGGCTCAATTCTCTTCTCTGACAATTTACATGTTGAAATTGTGTCCCTTTCTAATTATGTTTTTTTTTTTTTTTTACCTGTAAGGAACCCATGAACTTGATCCTTTCTATATTAGTAAATCTATCTTTGTAATCCAGATAGATTACAAAGATAGTAATCTATCTGAAACAGAAAAAGCCCTAAAATTTTTCAAACCTCAAATTTATTCTCTTAAATATGTTTGGACCAGTTGAAAAAAAAAAAAAAAAAAAAATCAAAATAGCTACGAGAGATTTCCTGCTCCCCACAAAGAAACCCAGCTTAACTTGTCGGCTGTCAAAGTGGGTACAAAATGACTCCTTCATGGATATAACTGGGTCAATACTGAGATATCGTGCCACACACATCTCTAGTTTTTACCCCCAACAATTCTGCATGAAACCACCAATACTAGAAAGGGGCAAAATTGCAAAGGGCAGAAATGACCAGATTATTTTGGTTATGTTTTTCTGAGTTAGTAAAGAAAATTCTAGAATATCCCTGAAGATATTTACATATTTGTAAAAAAAAATATTCAAATGGGAATAGCAATAATGTGAAAATTAGCCACCACAATCATTGTACAGGGAAGGAGAAGTTTGAGTGCAGCTTGGTAATTGTGGCTTGAGTACAAAAACACTTCGGGTGATAGAGTATCACTAGAAAAGTGCTACATAGACACTGTCTGCATTTACTTAAGAAGTGTAAGCATAAAGTTTAGGCCAAGATTTTGGTCTAAATAAATGTAAAGGACTTATTTAATCCCCAGCGTTTAGGGTACACCAGCGACAGAAAATTTGCTAAAAATTGCAAAGCTTTTATTTTCAGTAGGTCAAAAAAAAAAAAAAAAAAACACCTTTCCGATTTCCCGACTGAAAACATTTGAATGAAATATGTTTAAAATTTTATATTTATAATGAATTTTTTCACAGAGAGAGATGGCGCTCTGCCAGAAAGTTGGGTTTAACAATGTAGCAGACGGGACAACAAGTTCGACAGCCAATGCTTGCTTAACACTTGAAAAACTTTACCACATACAGTCAGTGTGGTTCAACCATATGTTACTAACATCTTCCTGAAAACGTATATGCAGCTGAATGTAATTTCTGCTTGAAGTGTCTTTTAGCAGCGGAAATTCCACGCGCACACTGCATAAAACCAGACAGGAAAAGTGCAAAAACTGGCCCTTCCTATTGACATTGTAAGTATAAACATTATTATTTCCATGTTATTTTTGCTCAAAGGACAGTCCAACAAAAAACAGCACCACCCATCAGTGGTGCTGATGTGTGCAAACTTATAAAAGTGGTAATAAGATTTGTGTTTTCCAACTCACCTGAATTTTCCATCTTGGTCATATCTTTTTCTTCTTTGATCTGCACTCCTGCCCTCACAAGAGCCTGAGCAAAGACACAAAGGTTTTGTTAAAAGTGTGGATCATATTTTTAAATAGCTTTATTATGAATATTTTTATGCTGCAAGCTTTGCACACATCTGTGCAGCTTAATCCCTTAAGAGTTGTCCTCTCTCTCTAACGCACCCTAACATCTGATCAAGACTGCATCTTGACAGAAGGTGGATGGTATTTTGAGGATCTGAAAGAGCATTTCTACAGTGTCCTTTCTATGCCTCACTTCACAGGCAGTTTTGAGGACGTACAGAACGTCTGTGGAGTTACTGTGGTACTTCATTATCGTCAGCATTTCTTGGGCTGACATTGACTGGCATGGGTCAGATGATGAAATCAGAGAGGAATGATCATCCTCCTCTTGCTCTAATAACAAAATATTTCACAGAGCTGATAAGACAAACATACTGCAATGTTCATGATAACAAATACTTTCTGCTCCATGCTCAGGCTTGCAGTCTAGTATCTAGGAAACCTAGTAGTGTTTCCTAGATACCACTAGGAAACCAGTGTTTCTAGGAAATCATAGTTTCCTAGAAACACTAGGAAACTATGTATTTCCTAGAAACACTAGGAAACTATGTGTTTCCTTTGCTTTGTACAGAGGGTCTGGACTCCCACCTAACTAGAAACGATTACCTCCTGGAGACGTGGGCTCTGTTGAAATTTGAAATGTTACCCAGTTGCCAATGTTTGACTGTGACTTGTTTTGATGAGTCAGTTTGACATTATGAGGCTTAACATTAATTGCCTGCATTATAAACAACCGCCCTTCTCTGATAAGACAGAAGTACTGAGCCGAACGAGATGGCTGTTAATATTGACAATATTCAATATTTGGAATTGTGGCCGACACAGACTGAACGGCTTCTTTCGTTTCCTCCGCTGCCATTGCTAAAACTACAGGCAGACCATGATTGTAAAACAGCGCAAAAAAAAAATCAGCATCATTGTTCAAAACTTTTCCTTCTGTTTGGTGATTGGCCCGTTATGAAATCAAATGGAGGTAATCCAAGTCAATGGGAGAAAGCCAAGACTGTGCTATAAGGGACAACTGAATCGAATTGAACAACGCAGGAAGGCAATGACCAGGCTAGTAACAGAGGAAAGCTAAGAAATTTTTAAGCCTATAGTTTCAATGTAAAATGCTCTTTTTCTTGTGAACTACCATCTTTATCTAAGAGAAGCACTGGCCTTCAGTGGTGAGCAGTGCAGAGGACAAAGATGATCAGAGGAGGCGTGATGGAAAGCGTAAGAAACAGCTCAAAGAGGCAACACAATTCCTCAGAGCCTTGCTGTAATCATCTCACAGCGACAAGCAAAAAAAAAAAAATACATATATTTTGGATTTTGTGTGCATTTTTCCTTCTCACTCCTTTTGCCATCATGTGCAGACAGCGCCATGAGAAAAGTTTAATTTATTGCACAGGTAGCCAAACTCTGCAGCTCTGTGTTACATGACAGAGAGATCGGGTTTTGAATGGGCCGTGCTGTACGCAGCCGTTTAATAATATACAGATGATTACGCCACACAATCACTCTCTAGGGAAGATGGAATCAAACCCATGTCGTTATCTAATTATATGGCTGCAGATTAATTGGGTAAATCTTTTAATCACCTCTTTTACAGCCTTCTCCCAGTTAAGCTTGGACAGATATATGATGAAGAAAATCGACTGCATCAACACGCAAACTGTAAGTCCCGTCCACAGCCCTATTAAGGAGAGAAGACAAAAGAGTTTGCGCTGAGCTGAAGGTTAACGGTTCATTCCAATACAGCACACAGCGATTGATTCCTACCTATAATCCCCATCTTGGCAGCAAACATCAGGGAAACGCCAATGGGGAAACCGATGAAGTAGAAGCCCACCAGGTTACACAGGGCACCAATCAGCTGTTTACCGGCTCCTCTGAGGACACCTCCAGTCACACCCTTCCAGGGGGAAATGGTGATTTGGGTCAAGTCACATTTTTCACATGCAAATACTAGTTTGAAATTCTGCAGTGAAGCTATCACTTACCGCGACAGCATCACACAGATGTGTGAAGCAAAAGATGACCATGACGTCAGAAACTCTCAACAAAATCTCTCTATAGGAAGAAAAAACAAAACAAAACAAAAAAAAAACAAGTATACGATTTATGAGTTTATATGTAAAAACATGTCAAAAAAAGCAGAAAAGGAGCACAATCTTTTGGACAGTGGAAAATATTAATGTTTTGTGTAGTAAATGAAACACTTGAAGTCACGAAACATCAGCAAGGTGAATAAAACCGAAAAAGATGAGTTGAGTAATTACTTTAGCTCTGTTTAATTTGGCATCACCAACAACAAATTTGACATTTAGCATGGAGTGTACTGGCTTCTGTAAATCTTTAAGCAGTCAGGCAAGTTTAACGGGATAAAGGCTAACAGTGTTATCTAATAGCTTCACTTACTCATCCGAGGTGAAAATGTATCCAAAGATGTCTTTGCAGGCACCAAGAATCGCTCCGACAACACACGAAATTATGACTGAAAAACACCAAATAAACGAAAGACAACTCTGAAGTAAAAGTTTGTAGATTAAAATCACAAGGGAAAAATATATATATATATATATAACCCATGAAATGTTCAGCTGACCTCTGTGAGATGGTATTATGATATATTTTAACCACATTTCAAGCTACAGTTGTATTTTGTAGATTTATAAAATAGGAATACCTAAAGCATAAGATATTTAAGGAAATAAATTGAATACAGAATTTTATTGATGACTGTCACTGAAAACATGCTGCATTAAAAAACAAAAAAAAAACACAAAAAAAAAAAACAGAACGGTTATGAGTATAACCGGAATGATACAGTTAGGTAATAAAAAGTGAGTCTCTGCTGCAGGAGACACACCTGCAGCGGGGGTGTTGTTTTAAACTTGGTTTAAAACAACATTTAAAACAACATGTTTTAAACCATTGTCTAATCAAATCACCATGACAGACATCTTAAAAAAACGTAATGCTAGAGAGGAAAGCAATGGAGCCTGAACTATGCGTAGAGTTTTATGTTAAACACTTCTTCCTGGTTTAAGTTTCTCAGCATTTTGCTTCAGTCACTTCAATTAAAACCAATCGTTCATATCGAGCGGAGTGGTAAATTCAATAGTAAACTTACTGAGACATGTATAATTAAAGGAATTAAATGAAACTTTTTGAGTGCTTCTGTCATTTATTCTGAAATTTAAACTGGCAATGTTACAATATTTTACTGTTTTTATGTTCCAAGCAAATAAAACTACGATGCTTGTTTTATTTTCCTGCCCCTAAATGTTTTATTTTTAGCTAAAAATGGTTGAAATGGATAATTTTACAACTTGCTTTGCACCTGAATAAATGCGGTAAAACCCATTTGATTTAAATAAGGCTATTAATAAGTTATACTTTCTTAAGTAAAATTTTTACATGTTAAAACAAAAAGTCATGCAAACAGCCTTTCAACTGAAATTAAAAATGAATTAATTTATTGACATCTGTGGTTTGACGTCATCGCATGTGTGCATTGGATGGGCTGTTACTGACATCTGGTGAGAATTTACTTGCTTTAGCATACATACATATTTATTTATCTAGAAATCCGGTTGAGTGTTTGAGGCTTATTTTACACAGAGGTGAGTGAAATTGGCGTGTATCAGAAGCTTTTCTTACATGCACAGACAATGGGGACTTTGCAGGACAGCTTGGCCTGTTCAATGTTCCCTGCACCAAGAGCATTTCCAACACGAACACTAGCAGCAGCAGAGAATCCTAAAGGAAACTGTTGGAAGAAGAAGATGTGCCCTTTCAGCTATGTTTTAATTTACTATGAAACTGAAATGAGAGAGACTTCAGAAGTGGGGAACAGTCCTGGAGGAGTTACCATGTAAGCAATAATCGCCAGCTCGTATATGACGGAGTTTGCTCCCAGCTCGACTTCGCTGATCACTCCGGCCAGGAATCCTCCCACTTCGAAGATCCACCACTCCAGACAGAGCATCAGCATGCTGGGGATGGCCAGCTGGATGAACGAGCCCCACTCCTGGAGGCAGTCCAGCGACCAGCCTGAGGGTCAAAGCCTTTCATTTAGATGTTTGAAAAATGGACTACTCACTGGATTATCAGGGCCTTGGAAAATCTTTATAAACTACAACATTTTCACATTTTGTCAGATTGCAAACACAAACCTCAACATGACCGAAGAAGACAAAGTATCGCACCACTGTGAGGTAGAATATGATACAAGGGTTTCAAAAAAGATAATCCTACGTATGAAGTGGTGTTCAAAAGTCACATAATTGGTTACATGAGTCCACTTATGATTTAACCTCATTATAAACGCAACTATGTATTAGTTCTGCACATCAAATATTTATTGTTTCTTGAAGGGTGGCTATAGGAAAGCCACTGTTCAAAGAAATAATAAATTGTTTAGTTTTATACTTTTTATCTATTGAACACTGCAAACATGTAAAAGAAGATCCTGTCAGAAAAGGCCAAAAACAAACTTTTGCTCTAAAAAAAAAAAAAAAATAAAATAAAAAAACCTGCCTTTTTATTGTCCCCACAAAAAAGGGGTAATAAACTGACCTCCCCATGTAGCCTTATGGAGACCCTTCAGGTTGATGTAAGCAAACAAAACCACAGCCAGCACATACTGGGAGATAGCATTAGCTGCTGCAGACCCACTGGAAGATACAAAATAAAAAAGATATTAGCATGACAAAGAAGCCCAACCAAGTTTGATAGAACTGACTGAAGCTTTTCAAAAACTTACGCAACACCCATATCCAGAGGATACAGGAACACATAGTTGATTATTGCGTTCAGGACATTTCCGATTGCTCCAGTTATAACTTGAGGCCATATAATTCCCTGTAAACACCACGACGTATTCTTAGAGCTACTTTTATTAAACAGACTCTAATTTTAATAGCTTTGTTAGGACTGTGTGCTTCAGTAAACCGTACCTGGTTTTGGAGGTACCTTCCCTGCAGCTGGTACATAAAGGCAGCCTGAAGAAAATAACACAGTGCTGTATTAAAGCTTCTTTGACCCATAAAAGGAAAATACTAAGATTACTGACTAAGCAACTGGACAACTTCTCTGCAATAGATGAAGCTTTAGTGATTGTGACAGATAAGGTATTTTAAGTTTCAGAGACAAACTTGTGTTGGGGAAGGCTAAACGAACTGAGTACTGAAACTCACTGGCAAAGCAGGCATGAATATGTTCACGTACATCTGGGAGAGTCTTCATGTGGGAAAAAAAGAGAGCAGAAGAGTGACCATGACAAATATGCAAAACAAGTCAACATTTGTAGATAAAACCAACAGACAGGTACACCTAAACAAATTGAAATGTTGTTAAAAAACAACAACGTTTTCAGTAATTCAGCTGAAACAGTAACTCATATGCTATGAGCTTTCATTAATAACCGACTGATTAGTTCTTCTTCCTTATTTATGATTGTTTCTGATGATTTGGGGAATAGAATACAAAATATTTAGATTCTTAGAAATTGAAACAATATTTGTGTTTCAAATAAGAATTTGAAACACAGAAGTGTTATGTCGTGGCACGCGCAATAATGGAGAATACCGGTTCCCTTGACATCTTTCCTGCAGACAGCCACTGAGCCCTTCCACAATAAGGGTGAGCAGCAACAAAAGGTTGTTGCTGGAGAAGCTCGCTGTTCACAGATGGCTGTGTGCAATAAATTTACAGGAAGGTTAGAAGAAAAAAAAAGTGTGATAGAAAATCCGCTTGTTTCCTTTCCAGGAACAAAAAAAGGTAGTGTTTCAATACAACTATATATGCAAGACATTTTATGGACTGGTAAACTGTGCATGGTGGATTCTCTTTCGTAGTTTTTTTTTTTTGTGTGTGTGTTTTTTTTTTGTGGAGATCTATTATTTTTGTGGCACTCCCATAATCTACATATTTGGCATCTTGTACCAATGTTTTATTAGATTTCCCCCTGTTGCAAGACTTTAGTTTCCATTCTTCATCAAAGAATAAGGGACAAGGTTGAATATCGGTTTGTTTTGCTGCATGCAGCAGGTTGTGAATAGTAGCTGTAGATTTTGCATAAAAATTATATAAACATATTTGCATGTTTTGTGATTAAATATTTGCTAGAAAACAAAAATAAATAAAAGATGGAATACTTTTTTTTTTTTAAATAACCACAATATTTAATTATTTGAGTGGCTGTGACAGTTAGGCTTTATCAAGAAGTCAGAAGCAAAAGGTTTGGGAACCAGACTTTTTTCTGCTGAAAAAGAGATTATGCAAACTTTGGAGAGTAAAGGTAATGAATAAACAGAAATGGTAACACTGTGCTGATTAAAGGGATTCATTATGTGACCCTGCATGTGGTGCTGCAGAGAGCTGACCTGGCGACCGCTGGACTCTGCTTGACAGCCAGCAGTAGGGGCTCGGTGTTGATCAGGACGGCCCAGCAGGGGAAACAGGCCAGCAGCAGAATCAGAACCCCCCTCTGGAGAATCACACCCACACGCTTCAGGTTACCGCTCCCATAGGTCTGCGAGAAACAGGCAGAGAGACGTTCAGCTAAAAAACACCAAGACTGCTGCAACAAGAAAAGTTGTGGGAGATCCCGGAAAGCTAATTTGATCCAAACGCTCACCGCTGAGCTGTTTCAAAGCGCATCCCAGGAAAACCTGGGAACCCAGCTGTAACTGCTGGGACTGACTCGGTTACGCAAATAAAGTGAAAGAACAACCTCTACTTAGAACAGTACCTGTGATATGAGCGTATCGCAGGTTAATGACAAACCGGTGCCAATGGAAATACCGGTGACGTTAACCACCTGCAGAAAAACAAAAAGATACACGATGCAAGGTAGAGACAACACGTTATCAAATCCAAGGTTGGATGAAACAAAACAAAAAGAAGCCAGGACTCCAGAAAGTCTCCTTACTGCAATTGACAGCGAAACCCCGGCTAGCTCGGTTTTTCCCAGGTGGCCGCAGAACACCATGCTGACAAAACTGATCATAAAGATCATCAGCTGGGAAATGACCTGAAATATATAAATACATATTTATATGTAATCGGAGCTTGTGCATGTCAGACACATGAAATGAATGAAAATGAAGAAATATCTCAAGAGTCAAGAAAATCTCAACAGATTTTGTTGAATGTTGAAATATATTTAGGTCACTTTAAGCGTAAACCAAACATTTAGAGAATTGGTTGCACACATTAATTTCATGTTAAATTTGCCACATTTTCCATTTGTCTTTAATCTTCGATTTTAGATTAAGTTTGAAATGACAATTACAAACAACTTAACTTTTGTTTCAATATGTGCAGAATTCACCTGAAATAAAATATCCTGAATTCACTTCAGTCTCTTCCACTTCATACCACATGTTGCAACGCTTATCCCTGTGGGACAGCCCAATCTTTTTTATGGTCTACACCTTCTTCCTTGGACTGTTTTCGACTTACAATCTATATTATACGCATGTGATATTTATATTACTCTTCTGTATCATCTGGAAACAGAAACAGGTTCCCTGCACAACAATCTGTTGTTGTCTTAGAAATGCATAATTTCTCATTAGGTAAAACATTAGGTAAAACACAAAAAAGAAAAAGAAAAGAAGAGAAAAGAAAAGAAATCATAATTTCAATGGTGAGGATGCAATTGAATATTTTGGATAGAACATATCAGGAACATATTATCCTTTATTTTCCTCCCTTTGGTAAATTCAGGTATGTCAGCAGCAGTAAAGTCACAGGGAAGTAGAAGCAGACAGATACCCTTGAAAATAATAATAATAAAAAGTAAGAAAATAAGAGAGTGCAATGAGGTTAAATGTACATATTAAGAAAAACTGTGCGTTTACAAAAAAAATAGCAAATGCAAATTTGAATAAAAGTGGGACTGAGTTAAATATTTTTTTTATAAATTATAAACTGTGCATTTGTTCATATTCATAAAACAGAAAAAACTGTCTATTTAAGGGATAATCCTGGAAGAAAACCTGTTAAAAGATGCAAAAGACGAAAGACAGAGGTGGGAGTTCACCTTTCTGAAGAACAACATAAACATACAACCAGAGCTGATGCAAAGAGTTAGAGCAATACATATTCATTTGGTACAAGGACATAATCATAGACCATAATATGTGGGAACAATGGAAAACTCTAATTATGCTCTAAATATAATTTAACTGAACTAAACCTCTAAAAATCTGCTAGAAACAGTGTAAAAGATCAAGAAAGTTCATAGTTCTAATCTATGTTGATGTACATACCACGGTCTCCTTGAACCTTTACAATTCAAAGAGCATATTTTATCATCTCGCTAGCTGAATAAAACTTGTGAGGAGTGAAACTTTTGAGAAAAAAAAAATAAACATCTATTTTTTTTTTTTTGGTCATTTTTGAAGATCCCCAATTTTATTTATATTTTGAAGTTTTTTCTAATAAAGAAAAACATGAAACCGTTGTAAAAAGAAAAGGTTGAATTGAAATATTGGTAACACTTTATTTGAAGGGGGTTGAATAAGACTGACATGACACTTTCATAAACATGACATAACACCTGTCATGAACATAAATAAGCCTTCATGAATATTTATGACTGTTGTCATAAAGCGTCATTCGGTAAATTATGACACTTTTAATACAAAGTTGACATTATTCAAAATGTCTTTGTTATGAAAACTTGACATTAACCAGGAAATCATTTCTGTTTAAACTTTACCTTTAATAACATAAAGTTACCTAATTTTTAAAGTGCAGTCAGTAATACTTTTATAACAAATTTATATCAGTAATGATTTATTGGTTACTGTCAAGTTGTCATAACAAAGACATTTTGAATAATGTCAACTTTGTATTAAAAGTGTCATAATTTACCGAATGACGCTTTATGACAACAGTCATAAATATTCATGAAGGCTTATTCATGTTCACAACAGGTGTTTATGACAGTGTCATGTCAGTCTTATTCACCCCCCTTCAAATAAAGTGTTACCGAAATATTTTAAAGAACCTTTAACATGTCCTGATATCGCAGCTTAAGTAATAAACACAGTTGTCGAAATATGTGCAAAACTAATGACGCTAATATTGTGATTTGTGGCGTTAGACAAACGTGAAATATAGACTATACCGCTAACCAATCACAGAATGAATACCGCTCTGAGTCTTACCACCGGTCCCGCCAGTTTGAACAGCTCTGCCAGCTCATTTCGGTACTTCTGCGGAACAGAGTCCCGTATTCTCTTCAGGCTGCAGCCGCAGCCTCCAGCGGGGTCTGCTTCAGCTGCTTTCAGGTCCACCTTCACTCCCTCGGTGTGTGTGGCCGCTGCTTTGCCCGGACCGTCCATAGCTGATTTGCTTCCAGCCAAGGTTGCGACTCTGTACTGACTCCTGTCCTGCGGGTGTCCGTGGTCAGACGGCAGCCCTGGAAACTTGAGCGGGATGTTTTACCGGAGGAGGGTCACGGGAGGGGCCGGGGCTGTGCTGTGAGTGGACGACTGTCCTCAGAGCCAGCCACCCCCTGCTGCTGTCATGGTGGGTTCAAGCGCGCGCGACAGGGTCAAGTTAACGGGGAATTCAAAAACCAAATATCAAAAGCTCACAAAATAACATATTTAAAAACCTAACCCTCAAATCATGTTCTTTCTGACCCAGTTCAGCACAGAGGCACGTGTGTAGTGGTATTTAATTAAATCGTCACAACCTCGGCAGCAGAAAATGTTGGTGTGATTCCTTATGTCATCAGTGATGGCGCAAAAAGTGGGTATGCGCTACGCTGGAGGGGGCGCAAAACCGATGTGTCGATTTTTTTTCTAGTCGGCATTTTCTGTACTTAACAGCTGTTTGCGCATGAATGAAATTATAAATAGCAGAGGAACGGAACTGGTGTTCTAACTATCTGTGCTACCCATTAATCCGTCCTACCTTGTGGTAATGCGCACACAGTTAGTCAGAACAACGACACTAGTTAGGTTCCCATCCCACACAGGTAGCTTGAGACCGCGCTCGTCGTATATAGTGCACTCGACAACAGGGTACGGAGCCCTCTAGGGGACATGGGATTTGTTTTTCTTTTGCGTTACCTCGCAATAATGTACCGATTAGTTCATGCGGCATGATTGAATACTGTAAGCCTTTCTTACTATGGCCATTGTACTTTCTGCTACAATACAAGGCTTTCGGGAGGTTTTTCCATGCATGTTCTCTCGTTGTGAAATATCTGCAGTTTTATATCTTTTTCTTTAGAAATGCACCACAAACCTATGGCATAAACAGAATATTTCCGTAACAAGGAAAGAAATAAAAAATACAACCAAACTGATGGTTTGAATTTAATTACTGTATTTTATAAGTACATGAATAAGGGAGAGCTGTATGGACATATTAAACCTGGGGCGGGAGGGGAGTATGGGTGTGTGTAGGGGAGGGGGGGGGGGGCGTTGATGATGTGTCCGCACACACCTCAGAAAGTATGTAGTTACGCCCATGGCCACCACTCTGGATACTGGGCTTTCAGTGGTGCCAAGGCCCAGATAGGAGGCCTTTCTCTAATTCCTTCACCAAACATTCATGAGAGCAGACAGTGTAGCTTCACTTTTCTCAGAATCAGGACAGATGACGAAATTCCATTTTTTCCTTGATGCCAAAATGTACAGGCTAGAAGTTGTATTTTGAACACTAACTCAACATAGCATACTACATACAATCCTGAGAATATTCTGTTCAGACCGTCTGCGTGTCTAGACGATGGTTCTCACTACAGGCTGTTGGAGTCTCAAAGCTGACTCCAATTTGTCCATAACCCTTTCCAGACTGATCGATATCAATGACTTGCTTTTAATCTGGGTGAGTTGTGTTGCTTTTTGATAACTTTTAGCATGTTGAGACAAAGCTTAAGGACTTCTCTTTGTGAAAGCCGTTTATAACTTGAAGTGTTTGTAAAGCTGTCATCCTAAATATGAACTGAATATTTGGTCACAAAGTGGCTGAAAGATTTAAATTGACAAAATAAAGTCAAATTAAACAAGCATAAAAACTGCAAAGGAGGATTCCTCTTAGCAACACACACATTTCATTCTTTTTGCATTTTCTTGCTGGGTTTGAATTCTCAGTATTATATTTCCCTATGCTCTCTTAAATAGAGTTATTGAGGAAGAGTCTTTCTACCTGCTCACGTAGCATTATATCTATCATTTTAAACATGGTCAAAGATTTACTCTAATTTATCCAATGTCTTTCTCCCCTGTCTTGGATAGCTTACACATTTTGTTGTAAAGTAAGACAAGTTCAGTATTTAATTTCCTTTCAGCCAATTTTTCAGTCTGCATGTAACTGGCAACTTTGTTCTCAAACAGTTTCAGCCTTTTTCACATCAGCCATCTGGATTTTGAATGAGGAAACGAATCACACAAGTAAAGACCAATTGAAATGTAAACATGAAATATTTATAGTTCTGCTTCTGAATGTTCCAGACATTATACTGACTCATATAGAGCTGAATACATGCGCACAGAAACCTAGTACAACAGGATTTGATTATTTTGTAAAGGCACTTCTCTTTTTGTCCCACTCATACTGTTTTAAAGTCCTCCTTCAATCTTTAAGGTTCTGTTGGTGATACAAACAAACAGAACAGAACCAGCTTTCTGTAAGTTGCACCAAGAACCGGACTCACACCATCGTCTGTAGGAAAAAAAATCATCAAAACAGAGTGACTATCAAATTGCTGCTGATGACTCCAACCACAAGGATGACGATCATGATCAAAAGTGTCAGTCCGCGTCGTACGACCAGCTGTTTAACCGGCAGCACCTCCCCCACTGTGGAGGTGGCAAACTCTCTCCGGCCTGGACTCTGGACGACACCCTCTTCCTCGTTGGTACCTCTGGTCGGAGTAAAGCCAACCTGGATCTGGCTCTGACTTGACTCTAAATGTTGAACAAGTTATTAAGCTTTTGAGAATAAAATCAGACATGTTTTTTTTCTTATTTTTTTATGAATGATGACAGTGATAACTGTCTGTTCCCACCTAATTGTTCCAGATTAAATGTTTCTTTCTCTTCCATGAGCTGAACTCCTGCTCTGACTTGAGCCTGATCAGACAGAGGAAAAAGTAATGAAATACATAAGCCAATAACATGTTTTTCTTCAATAAAAAGAGTAGTTCAGTTTCCAACCTCCTCTGAAGCCTTTTTCCAATCAAGTTTGCACAAAAACGCGACGAAGAAAAATGCCTGTAGTGAAACGGCAATTGTAAGTCCGGTCCACAGTCCTGTTGTAGTTGGGGATGAAGTAGAGTTCATGGTGCACCAAGTAGACAGAAAGAGACAATGCACAGGTGCATGTGAATAAAAGAAATTATCGCTGAAAAGTTTATTTAGTTTAGAAGTTTATTTCAAAGAGCGAAACCGAAAATCTACAAGCACTAATAACACTGACTGGTTTATACTAGTTTGAGGATGAGGGCTCAAGAAAAAAAAAAAAAAGAAAATTTTGTTTTTCAGAAAAAATAGAAATGAGGTAAATACTGCTACCTCAACAGATGTTCAGCAGACAGTCATTGATTGACCGCCTGTACAAGGAGGGTAAGCCACAAGGGGTCACAGCTAAAGAAGCAAGCTGTTCACAGACTGCCATATTCCATGTATTAAGCTGAGTAGAAAGTAAAGGTTTGGACAAAAAAGGAGGGCACCAAATCTTGTTGCTTGAGGTTCTGTAAAAAGCTTCCACATTCAGTCTGTGCTTTTTAATCAAATCCAAAGTAAATGTGGTTGTTTACCAGGAAATGCTGGAATACTTCAAGCTTTCCTCTGCTGACAAACTTTAAGGACATGCATTTTCCACCAGAACCTGGCACCTGCTCCACACTCAAAAGAACCAAGACGTGGTTTAATAACCATGGTATGCTGAGACTGATTGGGAGTCAGAGGAAGATAAGAGTCACCAGAGCCAACAATGCAGGTGAACTGAAAGCTGCAATCAGTCATTTATACAAAAGGAGCCCCAACCAAGTATTATGTGCAAAAGCTGTACAGTTCATGGACATACTGTGAAGTTGTCTAACTTTCTTTAAAATGAAAATGACCTTTTCCTGGTTTTATGTAGCAATGTAATTTATTGATGAAAAATTTTGTTTTTTCATCAGCTCTAAGCCCAAATCATAACTACAAATACATATATATTCCTCTGATTGATATGAGTAGTTTTAGGTTTTGAATTCAACTATATTAGATAAATAAACTTTCTTGCGTTAATGACTTTTCATTTGTTGTTTCTCTCACCAGTAATTCCCATGTTTGCAGCAAACATGAGGGTTGCGCCTATGGGAAACCCTATAAAGTAGAAGCCCACTATATTAAAAATGGCGCCAACCAGTTGTTTCCCAGCTCCTCTGAGAACTCCTGCGGCCACACCCTACAAGTAACAAATGCACGTCTGATTATAATTTGTGTGCAGAAACCTGGAGTCTCAGACTTTGGTTGAATGAAAGTCGTTCTCACCGCAGTCGCATCGCTGACATGCATGAAGCTGAATATAAGCATTACATCTGCAACCCTCTGAATTATGTCCCTAAGAAAAGAACACAGGAATAGACACCTTTAGACTGTGAATCATTCCCAGCAGAAAACATTAAAAAGTACAGGGAGATGATTCACTTTTTAGTGAGGTAACAACATGGTAAATGATTTCAGGTTGTCTTCAGTAGCTGGAACTGACTTTAGATGAAATGCGCTGATTTTGGCGCTGATGGGCTAACATTTTACCACTAATACACCAAACTTAGTTCATAATATTGTATTATTAAGCTACCAACATTAAAAACAATTTAAACTAGTCTTTTTCTTCAATTTTCTCTATTCAGCATACACCAGCTCTGTTGCCAGAGCTTTTAAACATAACTGAAGCTCATTAAACAGTTACAGCTTGGTGTCCAAGAGTCTGCATATTAGTTAATTTATGACTGTCTGCTGTCTGTATACAAAGAAATCCTGTTGTGACACATGCAACAAGCTGCAGTCAAAGGTCCACAAATTAGCTGGGTTTTAGGAACCAGTTACTGAGTTTGGGGTTTAACTTACTGGTCTGAGGTGAAAATGAATCCAATGACGTTTCTGGTGATGCTGACACAAACTCCAACAAAGCAAGCAACAATGACTGTGCAAAACACGCAAAGCGGACTGTCAATAAAGGTGAAAAGATGAGGTAGTTAATCAGTTTCCACAAGCTGCAACAATAAATGACTGCCTGATTATGTATTTTTTTCCTTCTTTAAAATGTTTCTTTAACAGTCTATTGTAGAAATATAAATCATAGAACATTAACATTCCAATAAAAATAAAACTGGGTTGATGAAGTAGATCATAACATTATATGTTATGAAATACTTTCCAATATGACAAAACCAGAATTCTGCGGAGTCCAATGATTCTAGCTCAGATTTGTTGGGTTTTTACAAAGACAGAGAACCTGTTGTCAGAGCTTTGGTTTTTAATCTTATGGCTTATGCATATACCAAATATTATAGCAATGCTTAAAGACAAAGCAATTCTCTCCGTACTGCTCCAGTTTTCTGAAGTAGACACTTAACATCATGTATGAGCACTTATGCTGTGGAATGGGTCTTACATGCACAGATGATTGGGACTTTACACGACAGCTTGGCCTGCTGTATGTCTCCGGCACCAAGAGCATTCCCGACCCGGACAGCAGCGGCAACAGAAAATCCAAGAGGGCACTGGGAAAAAAAATCAACACAAAAGAGCAGAGAATGTTACGTATAGTCGTTAAGCGGAGATGCTAATGCCTGCAGTTGTGCCAAACGGTCCCCTCACAACAGAAAAAGACTGCTATTCTGCATCCAGGATCTCCAGGACCATTGTTGGACATTTAAGAGAACACTGAGGTAATTGTATGAATGGAAATGTCCCTGTCAGAAGCCGTCCTAAGCCTTATTCTGGGGATTTAATAAAACACATTTCAGACCATTGATAGGCAGGTGGTGTTTTATGTGCAGCGAGCATCAATGTGTGTGATCTACAGATCCATTACCATGTAAGCCACAATGCACAGCTGGTACGCAATAGACTGAGCCCCCAGTTCAACTTCACTGATCACACCAGCCAGGAATCCTCCAACTTCAAAAATCCA